TACTCCAGGCGAAAAAATTCAATTCAAAAAAGAGGGGCTTTGCGTGCCCAAAAGCTACAAGGGAAAAAGTACAGATCAAAAAGAAAAAAAGGGCTTTCATCTTGCCCCGGGCATCTCCAAAACATCTGCCGATGGCGAATCGGCGTAGAAAGGTTGAGCAGCTTCGGGAGCAGGCGGAGCGGGAGGTACTTCGGTGACAGAAGGACCCTGAGGAATGTTATGGTCCGGGTCCCGGTCCGGCAGGGCCTTATCAGACAAATCCACTATTACCGCCTTAGGTAGATCCACCGAAACTTGCACCGGCGTTGGAATCTCGCCCTCGGCAGCAATCTCTGCTTCGGCCCGTTCCATCTCCGCCAAGGGCACGTACTTGTGCATCTGAAAAAGCGGAGAGTCGGACGGGATTCCAGCAGACTGGAGCGCCTCGTCCCACCCCCTCTTGAAGAACTCCTTGCTGTTTTCCTCAAGAGCAGGGAGCACGTTATCGGCGAACTCTTCCCGGAGTTGCTCCTCCGACTTCCTGTTCAGTGCCTCAGCTCTGATCCTGTCCAGCTCCTAGGTGAGAGCCAGACAGCTTTCCTCTGAGCCNATCGGCGAACTCTTCTCGGAGTTGCTCCTCGGACTTCCTATTCAGTGCCTCATCCCTGATCCTGTCCAGCTCCTGGGTCAGAGCCAGACAGTTTTCCTCTAAACCAACAGCCCTCTCCTCTGCCGCAGAGAGCCGCTGCGTCTGTTCTGTTATCCTCCTCTCAGCGTCGGCAAGGGCAGCACTTAGCTTTTCAGCGCCGACCTTCGCCAACTCGGCCTCCTTGAGGAGTTGCTCGATTTAAGCAGCCTGTCCGGCGAGGGTGGAATCCCTTATAGCGACATCCTCCTTAGCACTGGCAAGGGCTCCCTCGGCTTCTTCCTTCTGCTCTCGAACCCGCTGAAGGTCCATCCTAGTCCCATGGTACCGCGTCGCTATTATGGAAATCTGTTGGGTGGCCTGCGAATAAAAGAGNAGCGACATCCTCCCTAGCACTGGCAAGGGCTCCCTCGGCTTCTTCCTTCTGCTCTCGAACCCGCCGAAGGTCCATCCTAGTCCCATGGTACCGCACCGCTATTATGGAAATCTGTTGGGTGGCCTGCAAATGAAAGAGCATGTCACTAAAAGGAAAATTGGGGCTAAAAGAGACTGAAGCAAAGATGAACTTACCACCAAGGAATTTTGGATGATGGAGCGAAACAACACGTTTGTTGATCGCCCCCTGTGAGCCACCATGTCGGCCTCGAAATGCAGCGTCTCACTCACTGCATTGGCGACATGAGGGTCCTGCAAAATGGAATTGTCGACCCTGATCACTCGGTCCATGTGATCAGTGGCTCGAGGGTTCCACTCTGTAGCTTCCACTGTCTGCGGAAGAGGAGGAGTCTGCTGTCGCCGCTGTTGCTGTTGCTGTTGCTGTTGTTGCTGCTGTTGCTGAGGAGCAGGAGGTAACCCACGACTTCTCCCACTTTGCTGCTGAGCGGGGGAGGCCCTGGATCCCCTCCCAAGGCCATCGTGCCTATGTTTGACCCTCATCTCCTCCTCTATCAAACGATCTTGGTCACGCACTTGACCCCGACTGACGACTCTTGAGGAGGGGGTGGCATTGGTCCCTGCAAATGGGGTCCCACTGGTCGATCCTCGTCCCCTCCCAACAGCGAGAGCTTGCCTCTACCTAAGGAACCCTAAATCAATACGGGGCACGCTGGACATAGCTACCTCAAGGGCGTCCTCGACGTTGAGAGATTGTAGGATTTGGAAGTCCGGCCAGGAATCTCTCCCCGAAGTCCCCACCTCGGCGTGCGTAGGAACCAAGTCCTCTCCAACCCCGAGCTCTTCAACTTGACCCTCAACTTCAGCCTCTGAGGCTCGATCAGGGTCTTCTTCCAAGTTCTCCTCAACTTCTTATCCCGTCGCCTGATCAAAGAGTTTAGACCACCGAGAAGGCTCGAAAGGCTGGGGAAGCTGCGAAAACTTTTTATACCCGGGGGTGTAATTCAGGAGGATGTGGGTAGCCCGACCGAGCCCGTCGTCGCCAGTAAAATTTCAAACAATGATTAAGTCAGCAAAATTCACCGACAATCGGGGTGGAGGTGCTATTTCCCAAGGGGAGATGTCTGCACAAGCAAAAAGAGGGGAGTGGGTCATGAGCATGTAGAAAATTTCAGAAACAAAATAATAAGGCCCGAAGGAACCAACGTACTTATCGTTCTCCATTCCAATTGACATAACAAGCCGTCATACTCGGGACCGACACCTCTCTGCCAAGATCCCCTGAAGATGAGTAGGTCATCCTTGTACCCCTTCTCCGAGTCAGGAAGGTGAGTTACGAGGTACATAGATGGGTCCCTGGTTTTGAGATAGAAGTTTTGTTGAGGCGTAACTCTCAAAAGAGAATAACAAAAAAGGATATCGTCCAGCCCGACGTTTATCCCAAGACGCCTATTGAGCTCTAGCACCCCCATAATTATCCTAAAGACATTAAGACAACACTGCCAAGAGGTGAAAATGAGAGAGGAACTGAAGAAGCAGAGGGGGCAAAGGGAACCTAATTCCGCCTTCTATAATGACTTTAATATAAAAAGGCATTGCATCCTCGGTACCGAGGGTACGAGGGTGCACAGCCGCATCATAATCCTCTACCTCTACATTCGGTGGAACGCCGTACCTAACCCTAAATCTATTAATTTGTTCACTACCTTTTACTTTATACTTCCCTGGCCTCGAAGTACTAGCCTGAGGATTCTCGGGGGCAGAACGACGACGAGACATGTTCAAGAAGTGATAAAAATAGAGGGGGTTTTTCCACGAAGATCCCTAAGAAGGCTTCCCGGGGGTTGATCGCTGGATGGCAACCAGAAAACACCTCCGGTAATCGAAAAACCAAAAGAGACAGAAGGGCAAAGAAATGGAGGATACTGGAACTCACTAGAGCGTAAGAAGAGGTATTTTTCTGAAAAACTTGAATCGATTCCTTTCTAGAATGTTCAGAAACAAAGGATGGGTCTGCTAGCTTTAAAGCTTCAGTGAAAAGGTTGGGCAGTTAAGAAACAGAAGGGAAGAGGTCTCCGGCGAAGATTCAGGCAAGGACTCTCTGGAAGAAAAGTTCAGAATGACGAAATGAGAAAAAGAGGGAGGAAGCCCAATTATATAGTACCGGTCTCATCATTGGGCGCGAAACACAAAAATAACGCATTTAATGTGCACGACTCCCTAAGCAGGGGAAAACAGCTAGAGGTAATGATGAAGTAGTTGAGGTTGTTGGGAAACCCTTCGTGTCGTCGGCGTCAAAAGATCGAAGGTTGGGGGGCAGTTGATGGGACTTTTCTAAAATACTCCAAGATGAAGACACGTGTCCTCGGCGTCACTAAAAATCCTGTTAACTGAGATCATGTTTCATCGGCTTACAAACTCCCTCGCCCCCAAGGTACTTGACACGTGTCGAGTACGTTTACGAATCGACACGTATGCCTCGGTCTGATATGGTACCTCGATCGTCATGTACAGCTTCCCTCGGCTCGAGATGTACCTATCCTCGGTACCGAGATGTACCCCCGTCCAGGATGCCTTTTTCTCTGCTCCAGTATAAACTATTGATGTACAGGTCATTAGCCTAGGTTAGCTATCATGGTCTCGTCTTACACAATTGGTGTCAGAAGGAACAGGAAGGCAGGGTCCACAGCCAATGAGGGATGGACGCGTGGCAAATTGTGTCACATTAGAGACAGAAAGACCGCATGCCCTTACTGACACGCGACTTGGGAAATCAAACATTTAATTACACCATTCCCTTGATGAGACCGCATTCAATGCGGTAAGGCTCGGAATTGAAAGACAATAAATGTCTCTAAGGCTGGGTATTTATTGCATCCTCCCCGAGTGGAGATCATTAGACAGTCGGCAGCCCGATGACACAGCATTGATTGCTCGGGACTCCGAACAGTTAATGAAGGGAAGACATTCCTCATCAGAATCAGTGCGCACACTGTCTGTACCTAATGATCATCTACTGACAACACTGACAGCAATCATGAGCTTTCGAGGTATAAATACTCCTCGTAAAAGGTAAAATGGTATGCAACAAAAAACTCTTGACTACGAAATATATTCAGTGCTTTCTTCTTCCTCTCCTTTTCAAAAACTAACTTGATCGTCAGAGGGGATAAACCGGAAAACACTCTGGCGCCCTTCTAACTTGTTCTCTTTTGTTCCAGGAACCTTTCCCCAGCCTTACTGGATCATTCCTTCAATCCACGACGGTCTCCCGTTGCCGTTCCAGGTTACCACCGGACCTCACAGGCTGTCCCAAGCAGCGTGGTTGACCACTCAACTGACTCACTCGAGTTCACTAAGGGAGAGATCTGTTCTCGTTTTTTATATTGTGCAAGATCCTGCACGCACAGTTTCATTCGTGAATTATCAGCCAGGGTATATAATTGCAGGGGACGTCAACTCCGGAAAAAATAAACTTAAAAATTCAACAACTGTTAACATTTTTTGAACCCCAACACCAAGGGCTCAAAGAGGAGACGAGTACAAACTGATGTAAGTTACAAAAACAATAATTCCGATGGCTAGACAAGAAACAAAAAAGAAAAAGAAAAAGAATCAATCATTATTAAGCACCTTATCTATATTCCATTCCTTGGGACAATAAGATGTATGAGTGACACAACCCAATAACATCTCAAAAACAGAGCCACAAACTGAATAGTTGAGCAAAACTAAGTTCCATCAAATTAACCCATAGAAAACTAGAACGAGCAACTAAGCGGTGGTGGCTGCCTGGGCTGCATGTCTATTTCGAGCCTCTTGGATAATAGACAACTTGATAACTTTTCCCTTAGGTAGAGACACCCAAGGCTTTGTACCTTTGCCAATAGTGAAAGCATTTCCCAACCGAGTAGCAAACTCATGACCAAGGGAATCCTGGACGTGGATGGTCTCAAAGGTCCCCTTATGCTTCTCCCTGTTCTTAATGACTCCAACACTCACGTGCTGTGTTTCTTCCACCCGTCAGCCTCACAACATTCCCAACATCAAATTTTATGAAGTCAGTGATCTTGCTGGTCTCTAAATCCAATTTGATGGTGTCATTGGATTTTATGCGAGGATCTGGGTTCCGGATGGGTCGCCCATCATATGTGTTGATGTTGGAATTCCTTTCTGCCCAAACTGCACTGATCGGACCTTGCAGAGCTTGAACTGCAAGATGGGAGACATTGCTGAATTAGAGATCAATGACCAACCCATAAATGTCCTGTGGGAGAATACCCAGTGCAAATATAAATCGAACCTAACAACC